GTACAACTCTGTATTTAGGAGCCCTGTGCCACCCTGTGCCATCCTCACCATCTCTGACACTCTTGAGCCCATTGGTGCAGTCACTGTGTCAGTCCATCTCACTGAGGGTCTTTCTCTCTTTCACTGACCATCCACCTTTCCAAGTGTGATGTCCCTCTTCAAGAAATGGCCTGTCCTAGCAACATGTCCAAAAGTATGTGAGACAAAGCTTTTGCCATCCTTGCTTCCAGGGAGCACTCTGGCTGTGCTTGCTCCAGGACCATGGATAAGGAGAAGAGTACGTAGTCCTTAGAACAAGAAAGTGCACAAGATCTAAAGGACAGCACTTGCCCAGAGAGGGCACTCAGAAAGCAGGAAGGGAGCGGAGAGAGGGATGAATGGAAGTAACCCCTCACAGGGATTAGGAAGGGTGCTGTTCAAATGTGGGGATTGTGATCAGTGTCAGAAAACAAACTGTTTATGAATGGTTGGCTGGAAAACCTGTAAGCCTTTCACCCAAGTCACAGTAAAAAGTTAACACACAGGCGCACACAACATGGGTTGGCCGTGCTCTGGAGAGAGCTCTTCCCTTGCTTGCCACAAATTTTCTCTCTTGCAAGTTTGTCTATTCATGTGTGCTGCTAGGGAACTCAGAGCAAAATGTGTATTCTCTCGTAAGTGTATCACATTCCTGATCACGGTCTTAGCTCCTTTCCTTCTTCCTGCCTTTATGATCTCTTAGAAACTACATGCCTTGCTTTTAACTACATTTCTTTTTCTTTTTCTTTTTTTTTCTGTATTCGGAGTATCTTTAAAACCCCTTTCAACACTTTGCAGTAAAGCAGAATGCGAACAAGGGAAGCCCTGCCGTTTGAGCCGGGAGGGGCTAGTCTGTGACTGTGTCCTGACTGTAGGTGGTAGACATCGGAGAAGCCAGTGTACGCTCTGGGTTTTGCACTTTAGATCATACCTCATCCCTTCCAGTTAATGGGGTTCTTTTTTCTTTTTTTTTTTAAAGTGTTTTGCTACCCAACATCTCATCCTAAGTCAGCTGTCTCTTCTCCCCTTAGCTCCATTACCATCTCAGAGGTGAAGAAGGAGCCAGCCAAGGCCAGCGTGCAGAAAGCGGCCTCTGAGGATGATGGTGAGTCCACAGCTTCCACTTTTCAAGCGCCTACTTTGTGCAGAGAAAGACGTGACTCTTTGCGCCACAAGGTTTACAGGCTCAGAAACTCAGAGGGACAGTTCCCTCCTGTCCTTCTGCGTCATCGTGTGTCAGAATTGACTCGATGGCCGGGGGATTGGGGATGCCTGAAATTGGGTGATAAAGTTCTGGTTCTGGTTCTTTTCGTTCATTTGGGCACTCTTATGATGGCTGTTACATATTATTATTTAATATAGCTATTAATATATTACTTTGTTTAGACATTATATTGTTGTTATGTGCCGTCGAGTAGCCTATGACTCAGCGTCCATATGTACAGCAGCCCTAAACCCATCTCTAACCTGTGCCAATCGTATTGTCTCTGACACACCCATCCCATATTGTATTATTATTTGTAGACAGAGAAACAGTCTCTTGAGAAATTAAGCCCCTTTCTTTGACATAACTCTGTAGCGTCACGCTGAGCCTCACTAGTGTGTCTGTCCACCCCACACACCCAAGTCACTTGTCACTTTGAAGACTGCCTGAGGGGGCACATTTGTTAACTTCCTGTCTTCTGGAAACTTCTCTGGAGGCGGGCTTGCGGCACATTTGTTAACTTCCTGTCTTCTGGAAACTTCTCTGGAGGCGGGCTTGCTGGCCTGACCTGGTGGCTGGCATCTCTCCAGCACGCTTTGCTCTGCCCCAGCAGGCATGTCCCCATGACAAGGTTTTCTGCTTAGACGGCAGTGATTCCCTATTCCTTCCTCTCACTGGGGGCCCAGTCCCTAAGAGGAGGGGCCAGCGTGCCGGGTACTGACTCTGCCCCCTTGAATGCCAGGCTTCCGGCTCTTCTTCACGTCCATCCCTGGCGGCCCTGAGAAGGAAGCTGCTCCCCAGCCCCGCCGGAAGCGACCGCCGTCCAGCTCCAGGTGGGTTCTCACACAAGGCCAGGGCCTCAGGCCTGTTTGCTTTCTTGTTGCGGCTCATCCGTCGTTGTCTCCAAGCAGATTCCAGGCAGGCCCAGACCAAGGTGGAGGCTGCGTCCAGTGTTAGTGGTGGTGGTGGTGTTGTGTGCCTGCGAGTGAGTGGACCCTCCAGCAGGTTTTCAGTGGCTGTCAATCACACAGGAGGAGATTGCCCATCTTTCTTCCTCAGAGCAGCTGGTGGATTTGAACCGCCTGCCGTGGGATTGGCAGTGCAACTCCTTACCTATAGGCCACCAGAGCTCGGTATTGTGTCCAGTAGGTGTGCAGATCGTGCACTCGGTGGGCAGGTGAAGAGTTGTGTTGGGGTTTGTCTTTGCGTATTTCCTGGCTTCTGAGCACCTGCCTTGCGCCAGACACCTCACTTAGACTTTTCCACATGTGGAACATCCCCGTGAAGCCTGGGTTAGACTCATTACATAGATGAAGACTCTGAGGGCCAGAGAGGCCACGCAGCTCGTAAGTAGACAGTGTGAATCCAGGTCTGCTGCCCTCTCAAGACTAAGCTCTCATTGCCCCCTTTGTGTCCTCTTTCTGTGGTCTGGACCGAGGAGGCCACGCTGGGGACTTTTCCCTGATTCTGGTTGACCCCGGCTATTCCCCTGCCCGTCCCTCCTTTGCAGCAGTGATGACAGCGACGAGGAGTGGCAGAGGTGCCGGGAGGCAGCCGTGTCCGCCTCTGACATCCTCCAGGCCTCAGCCATCCATGGCCCCATCACAGAGGAGAAGGAGATGAAGGACATGAGAAATAAGGACAAGGACGAGGCCAGCGCCACCAGCGCAGCCACGGACCCTGGGCAAGAAAAGCAGGCAGCTAAGCTCAGCGGCGAATGGGCCCCACCAGGGACCAAAAAGAAGAAGAAACGGAAAAAAAAGGCAAAAACCAGTGAGGCTCCCACACTCCCACCAGCAAAGGGCACAGCAGCCATGCTTACGAAGTGACCCCAGTCTGTGGGCATCTGAGGACAAGGAGCCAAGACGTTTCCAAGCTCCTCTCACTCCAAGTTCACGGACATGACTGGCGGGCCCAGGCTCTGCCCATGAGACCCTGCTGGTGACTGGGCTTCGCCCAGAATGGGGTGAGTGTGGGTGGGGTCAAAGCCTAAGCCAGGTCTGGCCGCTGTGCGTCTGCTGAGGGCAGAGGCGGACTGTGGGACCAGAACGGGATGCAGGATCCTCTAGTTACTCAGCACTGACATTCGAGCGGCCAAGCACCTGTGGCCCTGGGCCCATCTCAATGGATGGTAAACGGGTTTTCTCCTTCCCCTTTGCCACCACGGACGCTGTGTGAGCCACACACACTTGATAGAACACAGTCTAAACAAGGAGAGGCATCATCCCCCCCCTCCGATTTTCCAGACTTTTCTTCCTCCACGTTTATGAATATACCATCTACCGTCATGTCTCTGAGCCAACCGGGTTTTTAATAAATGGTTGTGGTACCCAACACTTGACAAAGGGTCCTGGCTCCATCTGCGCTGAATCTTGGATGAGCTCATAACAAGCCTCACACACTGGGGATCCCCCTGCCTGTACCCACGAGGTGAGTCCCCTCACGTCAGAGCTTCAGAAATTGCCGCTCGCGTGTGGGATGGGTTTCCTAATAGTAGAGGCAAGAAAGAGCGGAAAGTCAAGTTTAAGGGGAAAGTCTAACTCGGTCTTGTTTTGCCTCCAAGTAAATAAATAAATATAAAGGGGTCTGCACACTGAGGTCCTTCTCCCCCAGACCCTGGCCCACCCCAACCCCTGATGACCGAACAAGCAAGGCGTTTTTCAGCACATTCATCATTTGCTTTACTGAACGTTAAATAACTCGACAGGTTCACCCATAGCTCGTTATAAACTGCAGGGGGTGCTGGCTGTCCCCAGGCGCCTTCCTCAGTCCCAGGGTGGGATTGTCTGCTGAGGTCCAGCCCCAGGGCATGGTGTTGTGTGTGCCTCTCTGTCCCCGGTGGAGCTCCAGACCTCAGACCCCTCCAGGCATCTGTAAGCTGCCTCAGCCTCGCCCAGCCTTCTTGCCAGCTCACCTGTCTCCCTCAGCTCTGCCAGCCACCCGGGCCTCACTGCCTCTCTTGGCAGCTTCCCCCTCAAATGAGGGAAGAGTCTAGAGTCCTCGAGGTCAGAGGGGCTGCCGCTCAGGGGCCTGGCATGTCACCAGACCAGTCTTGAGATCCTCCCGGGAGCAGACATGCTAACCCGCAGCTGGTTTCTATCAATGTGCGTGCCACGCTGGCTGCCGGAGGTGTGCTCTGAGGACTGAATGTCCCAGGCAGCCAGGTGATGGTGACCAGAAGCTGGGAGATCCCTGCTGGAGATTCCCGGGCCTGGGCGTCTGAGCTCCCAGCCCTGACCTAGTGCAGCCTCAGGAAATGCTGTGTGGTGGGTGATGGTCCGGGGTGCTGGGAGAACCCTGTCTTCGAAGCTCCCAGCCCTGACCAAGCGCAGCCTCAGGAAATGTTGTGGGGTGGGTGATGATACACTCATATGTGTATGTGGGATTCAGAGCTGGGAGGCAGGGTTGGAGTGGCCTGGTGAGTGTATGGGTGACAAGACCTCAGTGCGTTCATCCCAAGGCCTCTGTGAGTCCTGAGCTCGTGTCCCGAGGAGCGTGGCTGCCAGAGCCCAACCTGAGCTGAGTGTCCAAAGGCCGCCCCTTGGGCTCCGAGTGACACTGTTCCACCCTGCACAGCAGGGACAGTCCCTCCTGGGTCCCACCATGAACAGGCTGCGCAGTCTTATGTGACTTGAGGAGCCGACCCCGGCTGGGTCACTGCAGACCTCTGCCCAAGTTGGCCGAGTGGGGACCTCTGTGGGAGCAGAAGTCTGACATCCTCTGGGTGGCAGTGACCGCCCTCGTCACTCCCCGAGCAGGCACTGTGGGGACCACCCGGTTACTGGGAGGAAGAGGCCATCTGCGTGGAGATGAAGGTCTCGATGACGCTGTGGTTGGCCGGCAGGAGGTGGCCGTGGCTGCTGGCGGAGTCTGAGCTCTGGTACAGCACGAGGCTGCTGGAGGACACTGTGGAGGACACGGAGCCTGTGGCTGCCCTGCAGGGCCCCCACCCGCCCCGAGCACGTCCCCACTGCGGCCGCCTGGGCCTCACCTGGGCCCCATCCAAGCAAACCTCTGTCCTCTGTTCTTAACAAGGTTCCTGGCGAGGTTCTCAAACCCCCCAGAGACTGACCTCAGAACTAGTGGGCATGTTAGACAAGCCTTGAGGAGACAGTTAAGAAAGCAGACTCGGAGGTTAGACCAGGGTTCGAATCCCAGCTCTGCCACCTGGGAGCTGCGCTTCCTGCTGTAAACCCATGGTATACATCTCCCAGGCTTATGGTGAGGTGGTGCGGGCAGAGCGGGAGGCCTGGAGCACGGTGCCTGGAACTACTGCCCAGAGCTGGGAGTGGAGCCCGAGGTTTAGGGGGGGAAACTGCTTGACCAAAGTCACACCAGTGAGTGAGTGGCCACACCAGGACTTGTGCTGGGCAGCTCAGCCCCGAGGTAGCCATTCCTAACCAGCACGTCTTGGGCTGTGAACTGGGAAGGGAGACTGAGTGGGCTGGGTGGGTCAGGTGGAGATGGCGCAGCCTGAAAGCTCATTCTTTGTGCATGCGAGAGTCCTTAGATTTTTCTCAGAGAAGCCAGATTTCCATTTGAAAACTCCTGGGTTTTCAGTGTTGGAAAATAAGTTAATAATGGTGAGCTGGACCCCACACTAAACACATCTCTGAGTCACTGGCCATCAGAAGCCCTGGCTGCTCCCGCTGCCCCCACCTGCCTCTCCCAGCAAAGCCTCTACCCTCATTCAGGCCCGCTGAGTCTCCCCATCAGCAAGGCCCCCTTGCCCTGGGGTTTCACGCCCACCCAGCCCACCTCACAGTCCAGGCCCAGTTGGAGAACAGAGAGTGCTTTCCAGTGTGGGGGTGATGTTTCTTCCATGGTCCCCCCGACAGTGGGAACTTCAAGGATGGGAGAAAGTGCTCACCTGTGGGGCTAGTGCTTAGCCGGTGGGAGGGCTGCAGGTGCTGGATGGTGGCGGGGTCCTGGCTGGGGATGTGGATGGTGGTGGCCTGGGACACGGCCGTGTGAAGCCCAGAGTCAGTGGAGACCTCCGTGTCCGAGGTGAAGACCTGGAGGCACATGGCAGGTGCCTCAGCCCCGGAGACTTGGTGCTGGGGGTGGGGGGCTTCCTCAGAGCCTGGCCTTACCTGCTTGGTGGGCGTGAGGCTGGCAAGGGCACTCAGGTTGGTGGTGTCGGTGATGAGCATGGTCTGAGGGAGCAGGCCCGTGTGGGTGTACTGGGCCACCTCGGGCTTGTGGCTGTAGAGGGCTGGCCAGGAGGGAGAGAGATGACAGGGACATAGCAACCGGGCTCCACCCTGAGGGCCTAGAGACGGTGTTCTAGAGGGAGGAGGATGTGGGCACCGCCTGGTGAGGCCCCAGCAGAGTTAGGAGGATGGGGCGGGCATTGAGGGCTGGTGCGCCAGCCTGGAAGCTCCCAAGATGAGGTTAGACCCTCTCAACCTGAAGTGGTGGAGTGGAACCAAGGAAGGCTGGGAGCCCAGGGGCGTGGGCCACACACAGCGGGTGCTGCTGGACCTAGCATGGCTCAACAGTAAGGTAGGTGACCCCAGAGAGGGACTGTGTGGGAGCAGAGGGCAGCAGGGTACCCTGCTCCTGAACACCTCTGGAATACTCTCTAACCTTGTATCTGCAGCCCCCTAAACATGCACATGTACTAATAGAAAACACATAAATTGTGTATGCTCACATTGGCTCAGAGAAAACCGTGACACACACACACACACACATAAACTCAAGCACATATCCACAGAGACTGCAGGTCCACAATCCCTCACCCCCGATTTCATGTGTTCATAAACTCAGCTCTAGAGCTCATCACCACGGGGCCACTTGGCAGCATCAGGATGGATGGTGAAGAGATTGAGATAGTTAACAGTTTTAATTTACTTGGCTCCACGGTCAACACTCTTGGTAACAGCAGCCAGGAAATCAGGAGACGAATTGCATTGAGAAAGTCAGCTGTGAGGGACCTCTCAAGAGTACCGAAGAGCAACAACGTCAGGCTGGAGACTAAGGTGTGCCTGATCCAGGCTATAGTCTTTGCAATTACGTGCTATGTATTGGAGAGTTGGACAGTGAATAGGGATGATAGAAAGAGAACTAATGCCTTTGAGTTGTGGTGCTGGAGAAGAGTGTTGAATACACCATGGACTGCTAGGAGAATAAACAGGTTTGTCCTGGAGAGGGTGAAGCCAGAATATTTCCTGGAGTCAAGGATTCTGAAGCTTCGTCTGACTTACTTTGGGCATGTTGCAAGGAGGGACTGGTCCTTGGAGAGGGACATCATGTTTGGGAGAGGGGAGGGACGGCGCAGGAGAGGAAAACCCTGGATGAGATGGATCGACTCTGTGACTGGAGTGGTGGGAATGAATGTGTTTGAGACGGCGAGGTTGGCACAGGATAGAACGGTGTTTAGGGCTCTTGTACATAGGGTCGCTATGAGTCGCAAACGACTTGATGGCACATAACAATAACAACAAGAGCTCATCTGTCATCAGACCTGACCTGAGGTGTTGTGCAAGTCTTGACAGAACCCATTTTACAGAGTTCACACCTTCCTGACAGGGTTTCCCCCCCCAAGCCCTGCTGGGAGCATCACATGATGTTTGACACAGCCACCATCACAAATGTTGTAGCACAAAAGCTTCACACTCTCAGCTCTTAATCAAAAGGTTGGTGGTTCGGATTCACCCAGAGGTGCCTTAGAAGAAAGGACTTGCTACTTCCAGAAAGACAGCCATCAGAGCACAGTTCTACCCTAACACACCTGGGGTCACCGAGAGTCAGCGTCGGCACCCACCCAGTAGTAGCAGCTCGTCCTGGTTTATCTTTCTAGAATCTGAGCGAGAGTTATTTCTGAAATGCAGGGTTTCAAGAACTATGACCATGATTGAGCATGTACACACGTACCATTGAACACCCACGTGTTTACACATGACAGCACGCCGTGCACTTAGTAAACACACACAACTCCACATGCCCACGTGCTGGAAACACTCACCTGAGCCCCACAGACTCCCTCCATCACAGAAGCTCGCACACCTGAGCTGGACACACACAGCCCCCAACACCCGTTCCCGTGTGCTCACTGAGACCCAGCACCAGCCCTAGAGGGGACAAGGGGTCTCACCGTGGGGACTCTGCAGCTGGGCCATGGTGGCCATGAAGGGGTTCTGGGCCACATGGCTCTGCACGGGGGACATGAGCGACTGCTGGTAGGACGGGTGCAGCGGCTGCAGGGTGGTCAGGCTGCTGCCCATGCTGTTGATGACCGGGACACTCTGGGCCTGAGTGGAGGCCAGGCCTGCGGGGAGGGCAGAAGAGGGCAGGAGTCAGTCAGTCAGTCTGGTCCCCACCCTCTCCCCGTGATCCTCCCCCAGGCCCACCCTGACCATCCCCTCCTGCTTACCAATGACCAAGGTGGAGGCGCCTGTGTTGGTGAAGGTGGGGCCCAGGGACGCAGGCTCACCAGGCCCGATGGCCATGACCCCCGGGAGCGAGGCCATGATGAGGTTCTGAGTCTGCTGGTTGAGGCCGGGGGACGTCTGCTCCAGGCTGTGCAGTGCTGTCAGGGTGCTCACGGGGGGCAGGGGACCCCCTGTTGCTGAGACCTTTGAGGGGAGGCCAAGCTGAGTCAAGTTTGAGGACCGTCCACACACACTTCCTACCACTGGAGCCCTGCAGGATCTCAGCCACGGCAGGATGGAGGTGAGGGGCTCATCACAGGCAGGGGACACTCACCAGCTTGGCTTCAGTGCTCAGGAGGCTGTGGCTGGGCTCCAAGCCCGTGGGGGACACTTGGTGCAGGGGTGTGGACACCGTCACCAAGGGACCCCCACTACTGGAGGGCACGTCTGCCGCCTCACTCGTTGCAGACTGTCCAAACCGCACACCTGGAGTGGGGTGTAAAGTGCAGGCTCAGCTCCCCCCTTCCCTGCCCTGGGCCCCTCTTCATGCACCAGGCTCCATGCTGGCTGCTTCCAGCCCCTGAAGGCAAAGGCTACATTTGTCAGCACCCCGTCACCCCAGTGCCCTATGTGACATGCAGTAGGTGCTCGATAAAAGAATGAAAGCTATCTTCTAAAAGAGACCATTGAACTGAAGGTTAATGAAACAACCGGAGTGAACTGAGTTCAGCAGAAAACGGAAATCAGTTGAGTTGAGATGCGACTTTAATCAAACCCACAGTGAATTGCACTCGATTGAGTTGGATTGTATCATATCCAGCCATGTTGCATCCAGTCCAGATGACTTGAAGGGAATTACACAAAACTTAAATTAATTGAATTTAATTACATTTTGTCAAATGGAATCAATCACTTGAGAATTGACCACACCAAATTTAAATGAACCACGTCGTATTCTAAAGGCTTGAACATAACTGAGTTTAGTAAAATTGAGTGGTCTGAAAATGAATCAGGTTGATTTGATATGCAATGAAGGAGGTGAATTGAAAAGGTAACCCAAATCAAGTTAGGTTTCATGGAGTGGAATGGAGGGGAGTAGTAAATGGATTGGAGTATAGTAAATAAGGGTGGAACACGGTGGATGGCATGGAGTGGAGTAGATAGCGTGAGGAGTGGAGTGGATGGAGTGGAACGCATAGAATAGATGGAGTGGAGTAGGTGGGATGGGTGGAGGGAATGGGTGGAATAAAGCAAGTGAAATTTGTGGAATGGATGGAGTGGAGTGTGTGGAATGGATGGAGCAGAGTGGATAGAATGGAGCGGAGCGTGTGCAATGGATGGGGCAGAGTGGATGGAATGGATGGAGGGAGTGGGTGGAATGGATGGAGGGAGTGGGTGGAATGGA